ATATCTTTGGCTATGTATATTTTCACCAAAAAAAAAAGGTCGAGAAGGGAGAGGGCTGACATGTTGTGGGGTTGTTAACCAATGTCATAGAACAATATGTGTACTACTGTTTCATGAGAAACTATTTGTTCTGTAAGCCTTCACCTGAAGTACAATAAAAAATTTTTTTAAAAAAGAAAATAGACAACCTACACACTGGGAAAAAATCTTTGGGAAGGATATAACTGATAAGGGTCTAACAGCTAAAATACACAGAAAACTTCAACAACTTAACAACAAAAAGACAACCAATCCAATGAAAAGCTGGGCAAAGGACATGAACACAGACACTTCACCAAAGAGGACATTCAAATGGCCAACAGACACATGAAAAGATGTTCAACGTCATTAGCCATCAGAGAAATGCAAATCAAAACCACAATGTGGTATCATTTCACTCCCACTAGGATGGCCAAGATAAAAAAATAATGGATATTAACAGTGTTGGAGGGGATGTGGAGAAACTGGAATCCTCATCCATTGCTAATGGGAATGCAAACTAGTACAGCCTTTGTGGAAAAGTGTGGCAGTTCCTCAAAAAACTAGACGTATAGCTGCCATATGACCCAGCAATTCCACTCCTAGTATACTATACAGATCTAAGAGAAGTGACACGAACAGACACATGCACACCTATGTTCAATCACAGCACTATTTACAATGGCAAACAGTTGGGAACAACCTAAGTGCCCAACAACAAACGAATGGATAATTAAAATGTGGTACATACATACAATGGAATACTACTCAGCCAAAACACCTTACGACGTGGATGAACCTGGAGGACATTATGTTGAGTGAAATAAGTCAATCACAAAAAAACAAATATTGTATGTTCTCACTTTTATGAAATGACATGAATAGGTAAATATACAGAAACTAATGTTCATCAGTGGTTACCAAGGTGGTGGTGGGAGGGGGAAGAGGGAGGAGTACTCTTTAGGTTGTAGTTACTTTTTGTTTATAGAAATGGGAAAGGTGGCACCAAATATCGGTGAAACTTGCACAGCATGACTGATGTGTAACTGATCGCAATAAGCTGTAAGTAGGGAAAAGGGATGAATGGACAAATGCTAGGTTGTGCATGGTTTTGCAACAATAACAACAATCACAAAAAAGCGGGGAGGGGAGGCTACAGATACAGATACTAATTAGACATAACCAATCACCTCATGGGATTAGTTCTCTGGGTTTGGGCCATGGTCTTGTGGGACAATCCAGTCAACTGGCATAATATAGTTTTTAAAGTTTATGTTCTACCTCCCAGTAAGGTGAGTAGTGTCTGGGGTCTTAAAAGCTTATAAGCAGCCATCTAAGATACAACTATTAGTCTTTATTTATCGGGAACAAAAGAGAAAGAAGGAAACCCAAGAATCAGAGAAGGAATTGGACTACAGGACGGTCTATACGAACCACTGTCTCCTCCACCTTGAGACCGGAAGAACTAGATGTTGCCTGGCAACCACTACTGAATGTTCTGATCAGGAACACAATAGATGAGTCCTAATAAAAAGGGAGAAAAATGCGGAAGAGAACTTCAAACTCTTAAAGAATTCAGACTTACTGGACCTACTGAGGCTGGAGGAGTTGCCAAGACTATGGCCCTGAGTTGCTCTACGAAACCTATTCCTTGAAGTCACTAAGTAACAACTTAGCCCAAAGAGTGAAAATGAGAAGGCTAGAGGGCAGGGAAATTAAGTAAATGGAAGTGAAACAACTGAAACAAATAATGAGAATGTTGGCACAATGTGATGAATGCAACCAATGTCATTGATCATTATGTCTAGACACTAGAACGGCAGCGGGTTTTGCTATGTATATGTTCACCAAAATAAAATTAAAAAAGAAAAAAAAGTATATACAACCTGATTCCATTTACATAAAGATAAGAAAACAAACAGGCAAAGCTAAACAACATATACTTAAAGAAACATACATAGGAAAAGCAAGAGAACAACAAACATAAGTTTCCCTGGGGAGGGGAGGGAGCTGCAACTGGTGTGGAACCAGGGGCCTCAAAGACTCCGATGATGCTCTATTTCTTAAGAGAGGTAGTGATGACAAAGACTTAAGTGGTAAGACTTGTTTTCAATAGAGCAAGTCTAACTGCACAGGCTCCTCTCGCTCACCATTAGCCCAGAGGCCCTCTGCTCTTTCAGGACAGAGGCCACCCTCCTGAGTAACAGTCATTTTAAAGTGCTAGAGGGATTGTTCTTTGTTTCTTCTGAGAAGGCTTACTTTTGAACACATCCTTTGAATAGGTACCTGCACAGATATTCACTACAGAACAATGGGAAAATGTGTTCTTAGAAATATAATGATCAAGGCCACAGGCTGCCATCTGGGGGCCTTAAAACCAATAGCACTGATACTGGGGTACTGTGGCCTGACGGCTGCCCCACAGGACCAATCCAGGATCCCTAAAGGGTGAGGGTGGACAGGATACTCCAAGGCTGCTCATGAGAAGAGAAGGATGGGTGTGGACTCTGGAGCCGAGTCAACCTGTATTAGCAACCTGACTTTACCTTCAGGTTATGTGGCCCTGGACAAGTTACTCAGTGCTACTCATTCGTGAAGTGGGTATAGGGGTATAGTACTGCATCTCTCACAGGGCAACTGACGTGGTTCTGCATGGGGACTGACCTGCATGTCTGCCAGGAGGACTCAACCTGCTCCGTTTCCCCTGGCCCACAGGAGGAGTCACCCCTGGAGACACACCTGGAGACACCCACCCAGCCCTTGGTCCAGGAAAGGGCAGGTACCTCAGCACACTGGACTTTGGCGATATAGCCGTTGTTCTGAAGCTCCATCCAATTGGCTTCATAGAGCTTGGGTCCAATCAGAAAATTCAAGTCAACAATTTTGTCATCTTCTCGAACAAGAGTGGCTGTCAAGCCCAGCTTGCAGTGGGCCTGCACGATAGTGAGCACCCGCCGGAACATCTTGGCTGGAGAGACAGGCAGAGAACTCGTCACCCTTGAAAATACTCAAGTACCACATAAGGCCTGTGACTTAACATGGGCCCCAATACCAGTTGTCATGGCAACTGGTTACTGGTTAATGATACTTTAGAAATAAACAGGCATAACAATCCAAGGAAAGAAAGGCCGGACTCCATTAAAACACAAACCAAAAGGGTCAGTTTAACTCCAAGTAAATATCTAGTTCTTCAGAGTTTTACATGCTGAAGCTTAAAATGGTTTGCACACTTGGCTAATGACAAATAATTGGCATTAGAATTATTTTCAAGAAAGGACAAAGCAGGCACCACAAAGGGTGGCTCAGAACCCTAGACCAGGCTTCCTGTATCATTAAGGACAAGGCAATGGACACTGACCAAACAGGGTCCCAGGAGGCAGCCCTGATGGAGGAAGGCCAGGGATTAGTGTCAACCCAAGAGAAGCACTAGGATAACCCTACCTCAGTACTCCATAGCCAGAAACAGCCCTCCTGTGGCCTCTGCCTGCAAACCAGGTCACAGCCCTTTATTATATTCTCTTATAGCCCTAACATCTATCATTGGTGAACTTTTTTTAATTGAGGTGTCACTCACATATAATAAACTATGTCAATCTGAAATGTATGGTTCAATGAATTCTTACACAGGTATACACCTCAGAAACCACCCAGATCAAATTAGAGAGTATTTTCAGCATCCCTGAAGTCTCCTCCCCATCCGCCCCCAGGAAACAACCACCACTCTCCTCTACAAAGTTAGAGAAGCCACCACTACTCTGACCTCAGTCACCAGAGATGGGCGCTGCCTCATTCTCAACTTCACACAAATGCAACCACACAGTACAAACTTGCTGTGTCTGGCTTCTTTCACTCAACGTGATGTCACGGTTGTAACTAGACATCCGTTTGTGTGAGGGCCACTTTGGTAAGTGCCATATGTAAAAATGCCTCGGACTTCATTTCACTCAGAGTAATCTCTAATTTAGAATTATTCATCAGGCTCCTCCTTGATTTGTTTTATCAAGAAAGGTGTGCTCGGAATACTATTCAGCAATAAAAAGTAGCAAACTACTGATAATGCTATAACATGAATGAACCTCAAAACCATTATGCAAAGTAAAAGATGCCAGACACAAAACAGTATGTATAGTAGGAGTCCATTTACATGAAATCAGCAGAAAAGACAAACCTAGAGACAGAAAGCAGATCAGTAGTTGCCTGGGGCTAGGAATGGGAGCAGGGACTGATTGCATAACAGGAGGAGGAAAATGGCCTAAAGCTGGATCATGGTGGTGTTGCATAGTTTCATAAATTTACTAACAACCACTGAACTGTACACTTAAAATGGGTGGACTTTATGGTACATAAACTATATCAATAACGCAGTTAAAAGGAAAAAAAAAAGATTGGCCTGCAATACTTAAATACAGCTTCTATTACATATTAAGTATTCATACTTCAGCCTTCAAATAAAACAAAATACACTGCAAGGATTTTTTTTTAATGCTCCTAGTCCAGTTTTCACAGGGCCATGAAAAATGGGTTAAGGGCGAATTATGCTGCAACAAGAAAGGTGGAAGGAGGAAGAAAACTAGGGTTTAAAACTAGCATTTAGAAATGACTCATCTAGGCCAGTGATTAAGAAAGCGGTGAATGCGCATACCCATCTGCTCCCTACCCCCACTCTACACACGCTTCAGAATTACTTAAAAGTCTTTCTACAAGAAGGGCCTGACCACACAGCAGCTCCTCCCCAACCCGAGACCTGGAAATTCTTGTCATACAGTGAGTGGGCACTTGGCACCCAGCCTGCTCACCTGGTATGGTGTGTACTTCATCCAGTATCATAAGGCCCCACTCCTGAGTTTTGAGCCACTCCATGACGCGCTCAGCCTCCCAGGACCTTTTGGTGGTGTGGCCCAGCATGGAGTAGGTGCTGATGGCAACTGAGCAGCCTATGGGCTTGTCCTTGGCATCAGAGGTGAAGCGGCAGATCTGGCTGTCGTCAATGGTTGACCACATCTTGAACTGGGCTTTCCACTGCTCCACAGACACCGCCGAGTTGCCCAGCACCAGGCAGCGCTTTCGAACAGTGCACGCAGCCGTCACTCCAACCAGGGACTTCCCAGCACCTACAAGAAACCAAAGAGTGGTCCTACTCAAGGCCAGGGACAGACAGAGGGACTCATCAGCACACAAATCAGGCAAATTACTTGTAGTAATCGTCAAGCTGACATCTGTGAAACACGTACTGCTCCAAGTCTGTTTCCTTCTTTATAAAAAAGGAGACATGCCCACTCCACAGAGATAGGTGGGAATTAAAAGCAACAAGGATAACATTTAAGCATTTTTCCTGTGCTAGGTCCTACTGTAGAGCTTTACATGCATCTCATTTAAATGTTGGAATCTCAAAGCAAACCAGAGAGAGATACTACTATTACCACCATTCGAAAGATGAGAGGACTGAAGCCAAGTCAGTAACCTGCCCAAGGTCATAGCAAAGAGGTGCTGCTGAGGTACAGTCCCTGGCACACAGCCAGAACACAGTAGGTATCCAATAAAAGACAACCACTGTTACTACCCAGCAAATCAGGCTGGGACTGAGGAATGCAGTAAGTGAATGAGCAAAGAGAAAGAAGACGAAATTCCAGGAGCTTCCAAGTTTACTACTATCCACCATCCAAGGGTAAAGATAAAAATCAAGCTACTCCTTTAAAACAGTGGTTCTTCCTTTACCAGGGGTGTGCTGGCTCAGGCACCTCCCCTGGAAGTTCTATCTACTTAAGTCTGGGTGGGGTTCCCAGGTGAGTCGGTTGGAACCTCTGGCCAAGAACTTAGGCCAGAGTCTGACACTGAACAACTAGTGTCAGCTCTCAAGGGGGCTGCTACTGCCCTTTCTCAAACTCCCACAATGTAGTAAGTCGCCCATGAACAAGCAAAGTTTCAAAACTAAGGAGCCTCCAAACACACTCAGCTCACAAGACTGATCTCAAAGAACAATGGATGAACTATGGAAGCTAGCAGCCTCCCTGCCATCTCTGCCTAACCGCTCACCCTCCATTTTTCTTAACCGCCTCTATCATCACCCGAAATTTTGAACACTGCTTAGTTGATCTGTTCACCACCTGTCTCCCAAACCAGAATGAGCTCCCTGAGGTCAGGAGCTCTGCTCTAGCCACAAGTATATGCCCAGTGCCTGGTTCAAGGCCCTGCACACAGCAGCACGCAGTAAGCACTTGTCAGAGGAACGGATCAGGAAGTCACTGGCCTTGGCTGTTCCTGGGAAAGTGTGATTTAGGGACACGTGGAACCCACACACCCAAGTGGCACTCACCACATGGAAGGACAATGACCCCTGAGCGTGCACGTCCATTCCCAAACATCTTCCGCAAGCTCTTCTCCTGGTAGGGTCTAAGGACGGCTGTGGGCTTCAGGTCAATGTTGATGTCAGGGTTGACAGAATCGTTCCGGAAGTCATATTCTGCCAACAGAGGGTACTCCAGGTGGATGCAACGTTTCTGGAGTTCTTCAATCATTTCCTGGGAGTGAGCACAAGTGAGGTTTTATAACCTTGCTAACTCCGAAGCCTGTTCAAAAAGAGCAAATTTTCTAGGGGGCCCAATAATCAAAGCACAGCATTTTATCTAGACTTTTGCAATTTGAAATCTTGCCTGATAACACCAGGTACTGTTTCTTCTATCTCATGCAGACTGGCATGCCAGCCTAAGGTACAGGGCACCCAGGCCCTAACTCCATCAGAAGGGAGGATGCTATGGCCCACAGACACCAACAAAGGAGAAGCAACTGAGGACGTCAAACCAGGAGGAGAATACAGTCACTAACCTGCTTGACTTCAAAAGATACTGTCTGTGTCTCTTCTTCATCCTCCTCATCCTTGTCCATTTGCTCATAAAAGTCAAACAGGTCAGTAGGAATGTCAGATTTATTCTGTGGATCTGTCACTCGGGACGTGGAGGGCCCACCACTCCCTTCCAAAGTTTTGGAAATCTGTAGGAGAAAGGCAGGGTCTGAACTCACACGCAGCCTCAGGGGAAAGAAAACTGCAGGGCCACTAGGTGGTAAATGTAGGACTAGAAGCACCTGAGAGAGCTGAAATCCTACAGAGGCACCCTCCCCAACAAAATCCAAGGGCAACCCAAGTTCACCTACAGCAGATTTGCTCGTGAACGTCTCTGTGATGAGCTCGGTAGCCTCCCCCTCGGAGTTCCTCAGGCGGCATTCCCGGATCACTGGATCCTGGAGAAGATGCTGGATGACATCAGGGTGGGAGCTTTCAACGAAGTACCTACGAGCAGGGTGGGAAGGAAATGCCTACTGACCTGTACACCATTTCCAGAAGGTTCTACAGCTCATCCAATTAGATGGTCTGGAAAAAGTGGCTACATAATGCCTCCCCCCACCCTCTCGCTCCCCTACAACGCTGTGCCAGTTTGAGCTATGAGCTGCTGGCACCGTAACATATGAGTGTTATGGGGAAAACCCCAGCTTTGAGGTCACATAAGCAGGGGTCTGAGCCGCAGTGCCGCTGAGGGGAGCGCAGTGGCCAATGAGCCAATCTCCAGTTTGCACAGTATCACTTCTCCTGCCCCTGAGCTAAGCCTCAAGGGAGCACAAGTGTGGGTACAAAGCACAGTCCAGTTCACAAATGTCAGCTCCAGGTTCCGACAGCCCTCTCTCCCACCTCATGGGCAGCGGGATGGGCCTTTCCAGAAACCTCTTACCTGTTGTGCTTCAGGACTAGCTTGACTTTTCCATAGCTGACAGTACACAGCTATAAGAGTGACAACAGCAAACAGAAAATTAGCAACAAGCAGCTCAGATTTCAGGAAAGCCTCAGGACACGCTTGTTACTGGTCATACTTTGCTACCTCCCACCCAAGTGAAGAGTGCATGCAACTTTAGCAAGACCCAATATGCAGTCGTAAAGGGATCGGATCTGCCTAAACTGAGCTTTCCCATTAGATTCTACTTTTTTAGAATAAAACCCTCCTCTTGTATGATGGCTACTTCTGATACCCATCCCTTGATTTATTATAAAACACTGCTTAAAAATCTCTCTCGGATTTCCCTCTTTCCCACAGCCCCACCCTAATCCAGAGGTCTATCCTACTCCAGTATTACTACGGCTCTCAGCACAGATCTGACACTGAGTATGTGCTCAGTAACTGCCTGCTGCACAAATAAACTGCAGGAGGCTCCTGGCCTCCTCACCAATGTTCCTATTTCCCCAACTAGAATATAAGCTTTCTAATGGAACCTCCACGTTCCCAAGAATCTTCAAGTTGGAATGCAGTAGAAGTTGTGTGGTGGCCATGAAAATATGCCACTCACCTCACCTGCTGCTGCCTGCTCCAGGTGCCCCTCTGGATCCACCCCTGCATTGTGCTAACACCTTGATTCCCACAGGCAGCTCCCTCAAAGGCTGAGCACAGCAGAAGCATGGGCGCAGGCTTCCTCCATTGAGGTCCAAGCCCCTCTCTCTAGCTGAATCCACTCCAGGGCACCATCAAACATAACAAGAGAAGGGAACTCCCACAAGTGCCTCGCCAGCTTCTCCAGCACTGGAAGCATTACGGTACTTGTGGCACCAGGCTTCCACCACTTCAGATCTGGGAGTCTGAACCCGACTCCCTTTAGATCAGCCGAGGGCAATGGGAGCAATCACTCATCTCTTCTGAATGGCAATCTCCATTTCTCAAAACTAACCAAGTCACATTCCACTGCTGTTCACATGGAACCTTCTCCACTTCAACCTTTAACATTCTTTTCAACTTTACCTAATGGAAGCTGTCAGTCTCGTGTAGGCATTTAGCCTTAGATGAAGGTTACCACTCCCTCTGGGCTGCATTGTCAAGCAACTCTAGGTAGAATGGGCCCAAATTAGTATCTGTTAATCTGTCATTGGCTGGGAGCAGCTCCAAGGAAGCATGGTCTCGGCAAGGATGTAAGCATGTATCCAGAAAGGTAGCAGCTAATTTTTATGCTCCCTACAGTATGAGATCTGAACAACACATATTCATAGCTACCACAGTTGACAATGTCCCCACTACAACCCCACTCCAAGTAAGGGAAAAAGAGCTGGTCTCACTCCCCACTTGCCTTAATAAACTGAATAATCCCATCAGGCACACCCGTCTTGCTGAGCTTCCTGAGGTACTCAGTGATATCACTAGTCTGTAGCCCGACACTGACAGCTGCGTAGAGGGAGTAGGCAGTTAGTTTGTACTCATGCACATGGGTTGGTCGGCACACTGGCTCTGCAATAGCCACCAGGAAGTCTTGAGCATATTTGTAAACTGGAGAGAAGGCTTCTAAGAAGATGTGGCCATCAGGAGCCTGAGAAATACCAAGCAGACACAAAAGACAGGGAAACTATGAAGTTGCAGAAACTATTTGACTCTTCCCACATCCTTATCAAGAAAGGAAAAGCCCTCCTTATCAAGAGAGTAAACTGCAACATCAGGGATATTTATAAGCACTACTTCAGCAAACTGCCACTTCAATCAGATACAGAAGAATAGAAGCTCACTATTTCTCACTATTCTTCACAGTGAGCCCAACCTACTGGCTATACAAATTCTCAAGTGACCCTTTGGCAAGATTTCAACTAAGAGTAGAACATTATTTCAAGGTGAGCAAAGCTGGCTAGCAAATATATGTCATGCATTAATTTAAAAAAATAGGAAAATATAAACTATCTTATGTCATTTGTTTGTAAGACAAAAAAATTTTGAAGCGTGGGGTAGAGCTGACAGGGAGAGGAAGGACAAGGACGAGTTAGAGACGAGGGTCTGGCGGGCCGAGTCTGCACATCTGCTCATTTCTATCTCAGGCTGTTCAGGCTGTGTAGGAAAGCTGTCTCTCCCAGCCATTCTGAGCGGCAGTATTCTGCATTTCTATTTTAGCTCTGAGAAGGCCTGATATTTAACTGTTGCTCCACAAACTCTTGGGACCTGCCTGGCTGAGGGTCTGCTTACCACCCAGAGGGGCCTGGAGGTGTGATCATCCTTCAGCGGCATCTGCAGCCTGTAGTCCTTCGCTCCATATTCATCCACTTTGGTGCCTGATTCATCCACCTGCTTCCCGGCCGCAGAGGGAACTGCTTCCTGAGGGTCGTTCCCAGGGGTGTCGTCTTCCTCCACTTCCTCATCCTCGTAGTGACGCTTCTTGGACTTCTTCTTATCTGCAAATACCGACACACAAGCGAACTGGTCAGAAGCTAGGGTTTCCTTCGCACTGCCCGGAGGAACCCGGCAGGAGCCGCATTTCACCCGGGCATCTTCTCCCTCAGGCGCTCCCCACCTGGCCCAGGACACAGGGCTGCCCACAAGTCAAGGCTCTCCCCTCGTCTCGGGGACGCTGCCTCTACGCGACCCGGGACCTGGAGAAGCAGGCTGTGCGGAGCCTGCGAGCCAGCGGGCTCGGCCGCGGCTAGAGGCCTGGGAGCAGCTACGACACAGGAGCGGACACGATGATGGCGAGAGGGAGGAGGCCACAGCGCGCGCCCAAGTCTCACCGCGATCCGCCCGGTCTCTTTTGCCCATGGCGGCGACAGCAGCCGTAACCAGCGCCTACGGCCCACTGCGGCGATTACGCTTAAAGGAATTTCCGGTCCATACCGGAAGCTCTTCCGGCAACGACACAGGAAGTCCCGCCCCTCCGCGCCGAGAGAGGCGGAGCAAGCCCCGCGGCGTAGGCGCCCACGTGATAAGGCCTTTGCTCCACGATTTTTTTTCTTCCTCTGTTTAGCAGTTGAGTGACGTATTTATCGAGCGCGTTTTAGGTTTCCGTCTGGCACTGTTTTAGCCACTGGGAATAAGACAGGGAACGCATTAAAGCTCTTGTTCTCCTGGAACTTAAATGCTAACGGAAGGATGTGGGCAATAAGCAAATAAATATGGTGTTAAGTGCTGCCAGGAAAATTAAAACTGGGGTCAAGACATAGTTTATAAAGAAAATGTACTACATTCCACCTTGGTGAGTAGCATCTGGGGTTTTAAAAGCCTGTGAGCAGCCATCTAAGATACTCCACTGGTCTCACCCCTTCAGGAGCAAGGGAGACGGAAGAAAATAAGATACAAGGAAAAGATTAGTCCAAAGGACTAATGGACCACGACTACCACAGCCTCCACCAGACTGAGTCCAGTACAACTAGATGGTGCCCATCTACCTTACTGCTCTGACAAGGCTCACAACAGAGGGTCCTGGACAGAGCTGGATAAAAATGTAGAACAAAATTCTAACTCACGAAAAAGACCAGAATTACTGGCCTAACAGAGACTGGAGAAACCCTGAGAGTATGGCCCCAGACACCTTTTTAGCTCAGTAATGAAGTCACTCCCGAGGTTCACCTTTCGGCCAAAGATTAGACAGCCCAATAAAACAGAATGAGACTAATGGGACACAACAGTCCAGGGACAAGGACTAGAAGGCAGGAGGGGACAGGAAAGCTGGTAATAGGGAACCCAAGGTTGAGAAGGGAGAGTGTTGATGTGTCGTGGGGTTGTTAACCAATGTTATAAAACAATATGTGTAGTAAGTTTAATGAGAAAGTATTCTGTAAACCTTCATCTAAAGTACAATAAATTTTTTTTTTTAAAGAAACTGGAGCCAAACAGCCTACTGGAACCTGCCTTGCACTGATTCTCAGCCCACACTGTCAGCCCTGGTACATGCCACAAACATTCCATCCCAGCAACTCCCCTTCAGCTGGACCTGCCCTGCTGTACTATATATGAGTGACTGACCCTGCACATTGGAGAAGGAGGTGAAAAGAATCGTGCCCACAGACAAGCAAACAACAAAGAATGCACAGCCCACCTGCTCAGATGTAACCAAGTAGAACAGAAAAGCAGGATGAAACAAACATCTACAATCAATAAACGAGGAAAATAACTACCGAATGCCCCAAAGACAGCAGACAATATCAAAATATTTACAAAAAACAGGACAGGAATGTTCCAGAAAGCATCCAAAATGAAACACCAGATGACCTTCCAGTAGAAGAAAAGGCACTAGACCTAACTGACAGGGAAATTGAATCTCTAATATTCACAGCTATCCAAGAGTTGAAGCAAAAAGCAGATAAAAATGAGGAAAAAATAGACAAATTCATGGAAAATACAGGCAAAAAAATGGAAGAATTAAAATAATACAGGGACAAAATGCTAAAATAAATGCTGCACAACTAGAAATCATGCAAAAACAACAATCAGAAATCCAAAAGATAAAAACAAGATTTCACAAATGGACAGTGTCATAGAGGGGCTGATAAGCAGGTTTGAAACAAAGATAGAATCAGTGAAATTGAAGACAAACACTTGGATACAACTCTGTTTGAGGAAAAATCAGAAAAAAGAACAAAGAAAAATGAAGAGATCCTGAGAATTACATGGGATACAATCAAAAGCAAAAATCTGCGAGTGATTGGAGTTCCAGAACAGGCGGAGAAAACAGAAGGCACAGAGAGGATCATTGAAGAATTGCTGACAGAAAACTTCCCCAATATCATGAAAGATGAAAAGCTGACCATCCAAGAATCTCAATGAATCCCATATAGGATAGACCCCAAAAGAAAATCACCAAAGCATATCATAATCATACTCACTAAAACCAAAGACCAACCAAGAATCCTGAGAGCAGCTCAAGAAAAACAAAAAGTCACATACAGAGGAGAAATAATAAGACTAAGCTCAGATTATTCAGCAGAAACCATGCAGGCAAGAAGGCAATGGGATGACATATATAAAACCTTGAAAGAAAAAAATGCCAGGGAAGAATAATATATCCTGCAAAACTCTCGTTCAAGTATGATGGTGAAATTAGGTCATTTCCAGATAAACAGAAATTAAGGGACTATGTAAAAACCAAACCAAACTTTTAAGACCTATTAAAGGGAATCCTTCAATCTGAGAAGAAACACTATCAGACCACAGGCTGAGTATAGGACACAGGATTGTACTAGCCAGATACCAACTTAGGAAATGAACTATGCAAAACCAAAAGAATTACAACAGGAAACCAGAGAGGTTAATCTGTAAATGACAACAGCATCAGAACAATAAAAGGGGAATAAATGGTGTAGGTATAGAACCTTCTAATGGAGAGGAAGTCAAGCGATACCAAGGAATAATAGACTGGTTCAAATCTAGGAAGATAAGGGTAAATTTCAAGGTAACCACAAAGAAATTAACAAACCTACTCATCAAAATAAGAAGAAAAACAAAGCCTCAGTAAAAACAAAACCTACAAAAACGAAATGAAACAAAATCCACAAACAAAAGGAACTCAGCACAGGAGAGTAAGAGGAACAAAGAAAACATCAGCACCACAGAAAAAGCACTACGAAATTCAATCCCACTCCTAGGCATATATCCTAGAGAAATAAGAGCCGTAACACTAATAGACATATGCACACCCATATTCATTGCAGTACTGTTCACAATAGCAAAAAAATGGAAACAACCTAAAATGCCCAACAGATGAATGGATAAACTATGGTACATACACAACAATGGAGTATTATGCAAAGATAAAAAACTGATGAATCTGTGAAGCATCTCATAACATGTATAAAACTGGAGGACATTATGCCGAGTGAATAAGTCTATAACGAAAGGACAAATATTGTATGAGACCTCTACTGTAAAAACTTATGTAAAAGTTTACACACAAAAAGAAGCAATCTGTTGGTTATGAGGGATGGGAGGGGTGAAGGGGAACTAAATAGACAATAGATAAGTGGTAACTTTGGTGAAGGGTAAGACAGTACACAATACTGGGGAAGCCAGCACAACTGTACAAGGAAAGGTCATGGAAGCTTCATAGACACTTCCAAACTCCCTGAGGGACTGAATTGCTGGGCGGAGGGCTGTGGGGACCATGGTCTCAGGGAACTTCTAGCTCAATTGGCATAACACATTTTATAAAGACAATGTTCTACATTCTACCTTGGTGAGTAGCATCTGGGGTCTTAAACGCCTGTGAGCAGCCATCTAAGATGCTCCACTGGTCTCACCCCTTCGGGAGCAAGGGAGAATAAAGAAAACAAGAT